CCTTGACTTTGAAGATTCGCACAATCCAGTGTTCCGTGGTATAGGCTTCTTCGAGCACGTCGAGTTCGAAGTCTTTGTTGCCAATTTCCGCGCCACGAACTCGGTCCCATCCAGGAGGTTTTCCTGTTGAATCCGAAGTTTATTCGACAATGAAAAAACGAAAAATAAACTCTTCTGCAGCTTTGAAACGAAAAAAGACATTACAGCCAATTCCTTTTAATCTGTTTGAACTTTACTACAAATTAGAACAGAGAATCTAATATATCTCTCACAATAGTAGTGGAAATTATGTCGAACAACTACAATTTCTTCAAGACAATTATTTAAACTGAAAAGATAAATATTGTTTTCAATTTACCATGATGTGAATTATAAAGTTGGTCGAGTAAGATACACTTATTTTGGGTTAAGCTTGACTTGCTGGGTTTTTCCCAAGTAAATTAGCTGGTGTCACTTCAGGCGACACCTGCTTGACAATATACAGTACTAACAAAGGTCACGCACTGAATTTCAAGAAAACTGAAATCTCAAACTTGAGACTAGCGTTGCTGCTATGGGATTGAATTTCTGCGCCAAAAATAATTACTGTACAGTACATTCAGAAATTAAATGTTTCTGCTTCACAGGTTGCTATGTGATATTCGTGAATGTTCTTTCAGTCAGATGTCGCTTCAACGATTATAACAAGAATCCATCTTTCAAAGCTATCAATGCCTTGTCTCACACAAGAACACCTATGCGAGCACGTGTCTGTAAGGGATGCCCCACTTCAAAGATAAAATTTCTGTACATTCTAATCGCCAACGAGAGGATGATACGGTAATCCTCATTTTATTACGCATATCTTGATGTTAGATGATGCGAGCTTCGAAAACCCAGAATACCGTTTTTACTCCAGTACCACGCGTACATTTTTTCCAACAAAATTTGAGAAAAAAACGTGGTGTACGTCATTATTGGGTATGAATTTTTAAGCGACAATTTTTGAGAATTGGAAACTTCTCTCCCCACTTCAAAATTGTTTTTCCGACTTCTCTACAGAATTTTAATACTGTATCACTATCATTTGTATGACACAAAAAAATAGGTTCTCTGGTCCCTGCAACGATTTTCTCTGCATAATGAATTTCTTGGTCCAATTCATTGTCGGGAGAAGATTTCCAAGCGACATTTTTTGAAAATTTGGAACTTTTTCCCATTTCGAAGATTTTTTTCTTACTTCTCCATTTCAATACCGAATTATCATCATTTGTATAAACCAAAAATCCGGGTAGAATCTCTCCACAACGGTTTTCTCTGCATATTGCTTTTTTCGTCGATTGCAGTCTCTAGCCATATTACAGAGGTTTTCTACAACGAAATTCTTCCCACGAAGAACGTGCTTTTTGGTCCTCCGAATTTCGTTGTAGAAAGACGACCTGGATCACCATTGAATTCGTTCTTAGTGGGCTTCAAAACAGAGTTTTGCACAAAACAGAGTTTTAAATAGGAATTTCGGTGACTGAAAACTAAGATGCGCGTCTTTTAAGGGGGGACAACATTTTTTACGGATTCCTAGCTAAAAATCCAAGGCGCGTATTACTCGAATAAATACAAAAAAAAATCAGAAAGGAAAATTTTCCACAAAAAAAGAGCTCACCTCCTTCGGTGTAGAGAGACCCAAAGCGATAATAACACATTTTGTACATCAGACAGTTGAGCAACGTCGGCGATCCTTCCTTGTCGACTCGAAACTCGCCCTGAGGCGTGTAAAAGTCGGCCTCCTTTATGTGCTTGCCAGTCTCAGTGCTTCCGCCGATCCTCACCATCCAAAGGAACTTATTTATATCTGCAATTTCAAAAAATACTCATATACCGTAAAATCGCACTACAACACATTTTTCAGTGTTGTATACAATAAAACTTTCTCAAGTCCCGACAGAAAGCCCATACGGTACATGTGAAAACAAGCTCATTGAAACAAAAGTCCCACTTGAAGCATAACAAACTTTTTTGAGGAATGTTCATTAGATTCCCCAGGTAGAAATTTCCTGACTGAAGACAGGCTCAATCTGAAATTTCCATCCAACCCCAAACGTGACTGACTGGTTCTTGTAACATGAATGGAAGCCGTGATCAATGAAAAAACATGCTTCCAAGTGGTTCCACACATCATCCGAACAGATTTGTGCAACTGATGGAATGCAAGATCTAGTCGAATTTTTTCTCAAAGATCACTCAGTTTTTCAAACAGAAAAGATCTGATTGATTGTCAGACGTAAGCATTTTTTTCAGTAATTAATTTTTGGAAATGTCGTTATAAGAAATAATTTAGCACATCCAATTTTTACAGAAGTCGAAAAAAGTTTGTTGTAATGAAATTTTGGTACTTCCCTGTTATATCAGTACCCATTTTTCTTTGTCTCATGAATTCAGTATTCATTAGGTTAGGTTAGGTCAGGTTATGCTAATTGAAAGATATTTGTAACTAACATAACCTAACCTGACCTAACTTCACCTAACTGCCTCCCAAAATCAGTTTCTGCTTTGTTTGGGCTTCTGCTGAAACTGATTTCGGGAGGCGGTTAGGTGAAGTTAGGTTAGGTTAGGTCAGGTTAGGTTATGATAGTTACAAATATCTTTCAATTAACATAACCTGACCTAACCTAACCTAATGAATACTGAATTCACGAGACAAAGAAAAATCCCAAAATCAGTTTCAACAGAATGCCAAAAAATGAAATTCACAGTTTCTGGTAGGTGCACGGAAAGTAGGTACTGAGATAACAGGAAAGTACCGAAATGGTCCGGTACATATTCCACTGAAATGCGCAGAATAAAAGAGACTCACCGTCGGAGGAGTAACCAGTAAGCCCGCCGAAAATGACCAGCACGTAATCCACGTCCAGTTCCCGCATGATTTCATAGGCCTTATCCTCCGGAGATGCCATCGCCTGTCCAACCCTCGAAATATGTGTGTTGTTCCACGTGTTATTATCAACTATGATGGTCCTGTTCGCCATTGCGGTTATCTGATAGCCGTAATCCCACCACGACATCACCTTCGCGTCCTAAAAAAATAGAAAGGAGTGTTTGACTTGATTTGTTTTTCGCTTTGGATCACACGAACGGATTTTCCCTTTTTAAAAAAGGGGCAAACATAGTTATTTTCCTTTCCTAGATCCTGAACACTCGTCTTGATGAGATTTTTTTTTTCGTCAGCACTGACCCACCCAACATGACTAATTTCATGATCATCACTTCAATTTCATAATTAAATGAAATAGTTGAGCTACTATGGGTCCAGCAGAGCAGGAATCCCCTTGTCAGAAACTTCGGTAGGCGTTTGCAATTCAATGAATTTCTCACGAACAATCTTTCTTCACGTTTCGGTAGTGATTTACAATTTTACCACACGACCCATTGAAACAAAGCTTTTAACCACACAGGAAGCAAAATCACTTCCAAAAAAATAAATTGGATGAGCTGATGAGGAACTGACGGATGGAAAATATTGACACGGGATGCCAAAGGCACTCCCAACCAATAGGGAAAAGTACCCAAATAAAAAGGGAAACGAGGTTCCAGAGACTGGGTAGAAAAAAGGGACCCGCAACAAAAATTCCCCAAGGGAAAAGCTGGGTCAACAGGCGCGGAGTGATGGTCAGTGAGCGAACAGATTTAGACACACATGGACCAAAAAGACCTAAAATTTTTAGACATATTCTATTTCTTGGAAATATGGCTCATACATATTGCATTCATTGGAAATATTGGTGAGAATACTGTATTCCTGCAACCGTGCTATTTTTAAAAACTCTGAAAATGAAAAATAAATAATCTTCCTTAGAATTAGCATTCATCCGGCTAAAATGGTGATTTAACCTGCTGTAAATGTCAACTGTTTAAACACAAATCAAATGAAACTGACCACTGCTCCCTCACCCAGTAATCCCGTTTCCCTGCCTAACCCCCGGGGACCTTTTTGTTGCAAGTAATGCTAGAGTTATGCTGAATGATAAAATTGGGAGTCCAAATTCTTGGGAAAGATTTGTCCTTGTTCATCTCTGTGTGAACCTGGAAAGACCTAGGTTCACACACACTCTTTCTGGAAGTCTCCAAGGCTGTTTTTTAATGCCAAATCCTGGTTCTGTAATTTATCCTTGGAGGACAGTTTTCCTGGTTTCTAAAATTCATCAAAATACTCACTCTTCTCTGAGCTCTCATACAAGAAACTCCTGTGTGTTCATGAATATTGTGTGGATTGACTCTGTGTTTGAAACTTTGAATTACACCAACTTTAAAATAGGGTGATTTTCACCCCGGTTGTAGCCCAACCACATTCTGGTGTTACATTTCCTAAAAACTAATCAAATTTAAAATCTTCATTTGTTGAGGATATATTCCCAACACTTTTTGTCTTGGGTTCCTTCAACTATAGTACTTTGTCCCCAATCCCCGGCCGTGGCCTATTTTTGCGGAGCCCACGCAGAAAAGCCAACCAACCTCCGGAGTGTTATGCTTCAGCCAGTTATAAGCTTCCCTAAAGTCGTCAAAAATGATCCTCGATCCGTCGTGGCCCCGCGCAGAGAGCACAATGGACGGCGACGAGTAGGCTTCGCTCGTCACCCAAGTACAATGCAGGGCGTAGGTGACAAACATGAACGTCATCATGGCCACAAATGCCAAGGAAATCTCGTGCCTCAGAAACGACTGCGGGTCACTCTTTTTCGCCTTCTTCTCGCTGGCTCCAGCACTAGGCGGACTACTCGCTTCCAGGCCCTTCATGTATTTGCTGAGCAGGGTCGAGGCGCCGATCCCAGACAGGATGCACATCACAGGGGCAAGAACCAGCATCAAACGCACCATCACACCCTGAAAAAAAACGCAAAAAGAAACACAATACTGTAAATGAAACTTTATAACCCCCACTTTAATAGGAATGTTTCATCTGTGTTGACAAAATGTTTTGCGATACAGTATTTGACAATTTATGGTCAAGTCGGAAAATCCGGCAATACTTGCATCAGAATAAAATTGATTGTACCATATTTACTTGAGTAAAGTACCATGCATACCTTCTTTCTCAGAACTAGGAGGCAAAAAGGAGGGTGTGAATTTTAGACCAGTATGCCTTTTCCAAAGTTTTTTGGAAGTTTCCGAGCACAACATAATTGTAATGGGAAATTTAGAACCAGTTTCAACAGGATCTTTTTTCAATGGAGGCAGCGGAAAACTTGAAACTTGACTGAATTCAGATTTGATTCATATCCAAATTCAAGTCTTGGTGTGTCTTCTTTTTGAAACATTGCAGTTTTTCAGTCATTGAAAATTGGGTGCGCTTCTTACTTGGGGATAGGATTTCATCAAGATTTTGGGCTGGAAGGTTGGTTACTGTATACAATTTCAAGATTTTTTTTAAAGTTGAGGTGCATAACATCAGACTTGATTCGAATAGATTTAGAGCCAAATTTAACTGAAATTTGTTCAAAGAAAAAATGAAAATAACCAAATTTTGATCCAACTCATGTTCCAATTCATATCAAGGTACGTGTTACTTTTAAAATACTGTATTTACCTGGGTTCAATGCTTCCTCGGGTAAGACGTGCACAATGGCTTATCAGTCTAAAATGTTGATGAAATTGCAACCCCAAGAGAGACACACGCCATATTTCAGTGACTCTACAAACTGCAATACTGTACTGTACTTCAAAAATAAAAATACCCAAACATAATTTTAGACAAGGATTGAACCTGAATTCAACTGATTGTTTCCATAAAAGTCTATTTTTCTTTAAAAATTGGCCCAAATTTCCCATTAGAATTATGCATACATAAACATATAAAACTCCCTGAAAAATTTACATCACCTAGGATGCGCACCCATTTTTCTCCCTCTAAATTTTGAGGAAAAAATGTGTGTGTGGTACTCAAGTAAATAAGATATTGTAGTTTTTTCAGTAACTAATAATAGGGTGCACTTCTTACTTGGGGATAGCATAGCATTTTATAAAAATTTTAGGCAAAAAAAATCCAGATGCGTCTGGTACTTGAGTAAATAAGATATTATAGTTTTTTTCAGCCACCAAAAGTAGGGTGCACTTCTCACTTGCGGATAGAATTTTACAAAAATTTTAGGCTAAAAAAATCCAGATGCGGGCGCGTGGTACTTGAGTAGACACGGTAAGTGTTCTTCTTCAGAAACACATGTTGGTACACCAATTCTGGCAAAATGAAGATGAAAAAAATAAAAAATACTGTACTGAAAATTGTCAAAGTTGCAGACGAGGAGAGCACCAAACACATGAATCATTAAAAAACTAAAAAAATCAGGGTTCCATCAATCATGTTCTTTGAGGGGAGGGAAACAAAGCTTGAACAGAGTTCGAATGGTACGTCGCCCGCAAAAATTCTTTCATGCGTGATAAAGACCAAAGGAATAACACTCACTGCAAAATAAACCGACGTCATGCCATACAAAATGATGAAGATGTTGGCATCCGAGAGGTTCGCAAAGCAGAAATACAACCCAGCCGGGAACAGGAACACAAGCAGCTGGAGGTCAAAGTAAAACGAGGACCAGGCAGTCGGTTGATGCTCAGAAACACTAGCAATGATTGGAATATTGTTCTTGGCGTACGACGGATCCAACAGGGAGTAAAACCGTCCCGTCCACGGCGCAATTTTCCCTACAGGAAACACCCAAACATGAATTCCCAATTTCCATTAAAACAGGATTTTAATCGTTCAACTAACTCACCGCTGAACGTGAGAACAGCCGCGACGCCGAGAAGAAGCACGACAGCAGTGCTGATCACAGATTGGAACACTACATTGAAGTCTTCAGTGGACATCTTCGTTTTCACGTAGTCCACCAACGCGTGCAGTTGCACGAGTCCGAAAACTCCCAATGCCTGTTCAAAAAAATAGTTTTAAGATCATCAACACACAAAAAAACATTCAGAAATACAAAGAGGGATTCAAATATAATCATTTTTACCCACAATTCGACGATTTAACTTTTTATCACAAATGGGTCGCCTAAGTTTAATTACAGTTCATCAGCTTAATCTGCGTTCGAACTTGATGCGACACCGATCAGACAAACCAGAAACTGTCCTCAGTATCTCACGTGGACATCATAGAAGTGTAAAAATTTATTCGACGTTGGCATTCGCTCAACCCATTTTCGGCGCTCGATAATTGTATGCCCCCATTAAACGCATGAAAAATTATGGGAAATTTATCAAAAAAATTAGAAAATCTTCGTGACATACGTTCGGGTTCGAATTTGAAGCAACACACAACGTACTCACCAAGAACTACCATCCGTACCTCACCATCACAGCAATGTCAAAATGTATTCGATTATGCACGAGTATAATGACATCAGCTTAACAACTTTTCGATGTATGATATAATTGTACCACCACCGCAGAAATAAATAATTATGTAAAATTATCAAAGGATGGAAAAGTATCATCGCCTAAACTGAGAGAGCGCTGAATCCGGGTTCGAATAAGAAGCGACACCTACCAGACACACCAGAAACGGTCCTCAATATCTCATGTGAGTACAGTATTACAGAAGTGTCATAAATTTTACAATGATGACATCACCTGAACAAATTTTCGGCACATGACACTGCTGTACCACCATTAAATACATTAACAAATACGGGATATCATCAAAGAAGGGATAATTATGGCCGCTCGACGTTCAATTGAACGTGAAGCGACACCTACCAGACAAACCAGAAACTATATTCCGCATCTAACGTGGCTATGACAGAAGTGTGAAAATTTATTCGATGATTACATCAGCTGAACAACTTTTCCGGGTATCATACTACTGTACCACCATTACATACCAGTGTACATGGATAATTATGTGAAAACATCAAAGAATAATGCGATCATTTTCACTTGAATCTCCGCTCTTGTTTTCCAATGTGCCCAAAAAGCGAGGATTAAAATCGCAAGAGTTGATATTACAGCACCTGAACTCTTTCACCAAGACCGGTTCCATATGACCCTAATTGCTCTTATCAACCCAACATCACACGATATAATTAGATAACAAAAACTTCGACAAGTCTCAGAAAAAAGTTCATCGCGGATTGGGTGACGTTAAGCATTCAAGCGAGAAGAACCCAAAATGGTCGTCATTTGAAACATGGTTCGGATGCGAAGGAAATTCGCACTTCAATTCTATAGGACTGTGGTACAATCGTATAAAGATACTGCATTCAAAAAATACGCCTGATCATAAAAATTTCTTCATCACGCTCGAAGTGTGTTTACATTTCTGCAAAAATGTACAGTAGCAGCAAATAAAATTACTGAGTCATCCACACTGGGTGTTCAAGCAACAACGAAAAAAATAAGAAAACACTGGAATACGCTTCAGATAAAAACTCACCCCCATATGCTCCGACGTCAACACGGGCTGGAATCCCACGAAAGGGATTTGCATTGACAAAATTGTGCCAGTGCAATACAGCGTCGTGTACGCAACATAAACCCGATGGGAGAACCTCCCCGAGATCATCAGGGCAAGCACGTGAAGAGGAATTAGGTTGATGAGAAACACGTATCCTCCCCACGACGACACCTGAGGGAAAAAATACAATTCCGTCACTTCAGGCAAATTTTCAATTTCAAAGCCACACTCAAACGATTTCCACGTCTAGAAACTCTGTGATGCCAAAATTTAAAATGACTTTTTTCAATGAACAGAAGAGATTAATACCATCCACCGCTCACAGACATTGCAGATGCGTTTCGCATCGTGAAATAAAAAAAAGGAAACCAAAATTGCAAGGTTATCTTCTTTTGGCATATTTTAAAATAATCCACGAATCTCATGTCCGTCACGAGGGTTGGCTCATACGTTTTGCAATGTATAGTTCGAACATTGACAAGCGTGGATAAGCATAACGGAATTTTCGAAAAATATTACTCCACAATTTTCTCGTAATTATCAAAAACGTCCGATCATACGTTTTGAAATGGGAAATAAGAAAGATATTGCAGTTTCAATCACACGTCATCACTGCTGGGAAATGAAATTTACCTCCATTCCGGATTAACGAATACTCCCGAGGAATTTGCGAGCTGTCAAAGCGCCAACGAACATTTCAAGTACTGTAATTGTTAAATCCGTTCTAGTGACAATATCCCAAACCTGTCAACCAAATTCCAATCGAGAATCATTTTGATCTGAGCAATTTTCAAACTTTCACGACATAGATATGAATTGATGAGCTGGAAGTTGTTCCAAGTCTGGTCAGCAACTGACGAGAAAAGTTCAACAAATTCAAGTCTTGTTCCAATTACTCCATCGAAGATCCGGAGTGAATTCCGTCCACAAATATTGTTATAAAAGTCAACTTTGAAAAAATCAGGCAGGAAGTTGTGCCAAGTCTGGTAAGCAATTCACTAAAAATTCCTTTAAAAGATTCTTGCTTCAACTAATCCTTCGATAGTTCTGAGGGAATTCCGTCCAAAAATAATTCCCCATCACCCGAGTTCACGCAGCTAAAAAGTACACTCGAAAAAAAATAAAATCAGACAGGGAATTGTTCCAAGTCTGATCAGCAATTGACAAAACAAATCCTAAACAAATGAACAGTCTTGCTTCAATTACTCCTTCGACGCGGTTCAGATGGGAAATTCCGTCTAAAAATAGTTCCCATCACCTGTCTTCACACAGCTAAAAAAAAAACATCGGGATTAAAAATAAATGAATGAATACCAACCATGTAAAAGTACGCAAGCGCGCAAATCACGGACCAGCTGAGACTTCCCGTCTTCACGGCCTTGATCCACGTATAGTAAGTAAAGAGCATGCAAAAAATTGCAATTCCTTCATTGTCGTAGGACCCGGCGACGGAGCGGGAAATGTAACCCGGTACGATGGAGATCATCGCCGCTGCCACGAGTCCCGCGCCGGGATTCGACAACTCTTTAGTCAAGTGGTAAGTGACGATCGTCGTCAGCGAACTAAACAACGGAGCGAGGAACACGCACACGTTTCTTATGTCCACAGTGAAGTTCAGCCAGTGGAGGACGTTGTAGAGCGTGGCCGACGTCACCATCAAACCCGGATAAATTGTTCCTATAAATAAAATAAGTTTCAACCTTTCTGAGTAGAATTTGAAGGAATCAACAACAAAAATTGACTTCAAACAGGTCTCGAGTCAGGGAAACTATCATTTTTGCCTTAAAAAAAAAAAAGAATTAGAGGGAGTTATAATTAGCTTTCTTTTTTTGTCATAAAACTGCCTTGTGAAGAAGTTGTCCAGACGTTGAACCATGAGGCAAGGGTTAAATTGCCCCAATTAATCATTCACTTCCTTTCATAACACATCAAGTGACATTTTTTCCTGCTTGTCGCTTTCCTGTGTCCACAAATGATAGTCAAAATGCCTTTACAAAATTTGAGTTCCAGAGGGTTTGAGGGGAAAAAAGCTTTTGAATTCGCGAGTTTTTTTTTAATGCACTCTTTCTAAGGGAATTCAGGCAAACTCTCAGGGACTTGAAAAATTCGAAGAAGGGAGGTTAGAGTGATAGAAGTTCAACAGTAATAAAAATGAAAACACGCGAAAATAGAAGCAATCAACCCCAACTTGAAGTTGGAACACAAGTATATTTAAGGATTTTTCAGGGCCACGCAATTTTTATGCAACGTAATATCGTTTATACTCATGTACTACATACACTTTTTTAATTCAACGAGATAAAAGGGAGCGCGTTATAACATTTTTAGAATATGCAAAGCTTTGGAGCATATCATTTTTTTATTCCAACAAAAAATTATCAACCAATTTTTACGAACAATTAGAAAAATGAATATGACTAAAGATTAAAATTCAAGTTGACTAAAATCGAGGTCAAAATTTAAATTCTGGTGCATTTTATTTTCAAATCACGGATGGACTCTCTCTCTACAATAAAATTCAGGGGGCCAGAGAAAATATGTTGTGGAGAGAATTTTGCTGTAGAAAAAAACCCTATAACATGGGGAAGAACCCCATGGGCACAAACTAACAAATTCATTACAGTATAAAGAGAAAATTTTTTTTGACAAGATAGTTTCAGAGAGCGTCCCTCTTTATTTCAATTTTCAGTCCTTAAAAACAGGGAGCGCGTCTTTCTCTGGGAAACATTCTATTCCAATTTTAGGCTGAAAAATTGTGGTGAACTTACTCAAGGGTCAGTGTTATTCGAGGAAATACGGTACTGTATTGGCAATTGCACCAACAGAAGGAGTTGAGCTCATCAAAAATATTTGTCAAATCGGTCGCAAGAAATTCAAGGCACCTTTCACTCACTCAAGCAATGTGCTGGGACTGACAGTGAATCTAATTCTTCGAAAGAAAAAAAAAAAATTTCTTTACCCCCAGTGATGCGTCCAAGTGGGTACCAGACACGATCATCGAACCAGTTGTGAAAACTATAGAAGCCATCTTCGGACAGGAACTTGGTTGTGCGATAGTTGAAGTAGGGATCAAATTCG